GTTAAGCAAGGGGCCGCGCGGGCGCCGGGCCGGCCGGGCCGGGGCTCCTCCGGAGAAAGTTGGCGGCGGGCTGCGGCGAACTTTCCCGCCGGGTTTTGGAAGGCAGGTGGGGAGAGGGGGGCGGAGGATCCCGCGCCGCTGAGCTGAAGCCGGCCCCGGGCACCCGTGGGGGGCGGGGCACCCGTGGCGGAGGGGCCAGGTCACCCGTGGGGGGTCACCCGTGGGGGCCAGGCCACACGTGGGGCCGGGTCACCCGTGGGGGTCACCCGTGGGGGACCTCTCCCATGATGTCGCTGTCATGGGCTTATGCGGTTCCAAGCTCGGCTCCCCATTTTGTTGGAATGGGAGGTGAATGGAAGGAGCTTTTTGGACAGTCCATGGAAAACTGGGGGGGCGGGTTTTGGGGTTCGGGGGTCCCCCCTCCCCTTCCCCCTCGCTTTTGCCCGGATGATTGCTTTATGAAATGTTGATTAAATGACACGCTGAGTTTCCTGTGTTTGATGCTTTTAAAGGAAATGGCAGAGACGGGATCGTAGTCGATGGGTGTGTGTGCGTGCACACGCGTGTTCAAAGTTGGTTAAAGTGTCATTAAGGTGTAAAGTGGCTGAACCTGAGAAACAGAGGAATCCTCGGCACCCCTAACTTGAATAGAAGAGAGAAATCTGGTACTGTGGTGTGAAACGCCGTCCAGTTCCAGCCTGGGCACATCTGGGCCGCGCGGGGCGCTGTGTTTGATGCTTGCACCCTAACCCGGGGAGCAAATACCAGCAAAGAACCAGGAAGAACTGGGCTCAAGCCTGTCAGCCCAGCCACTCAGGAGGCTGAGACCTGAGGATCACAGTTCCACGCCAGCCTGGGTAGAAAGTCTGTGCGACTTTTATCTCCAATTAACCAGCCAGAAGCTGGAAGGGGAGCTGTGGCTCAGGTGGTAGAGCACTAGCCTTGAGCAGGAAAGCTCAGGGACAGTGCCCAGGCCCTGAGTTCAACCACCCTGTCCCCTCCTAGTGCATGCGCGCGTGCACATACACACACACACCAGCTAAAAATTCCGTGAGTGGGATGGTGAACTAGTCTTCCAGGGGGACAGAGCTGTATCACTAGAAGCACAAGAGCTGGACAGGACGTTTGACAGTTCATTGGTGCCAGTGAACAAGGAATGCTTCAGCCATTTTCAAACTTTCTCAACAGTGAATCACACAGTTAATTTTCTGTAGGCATGTGCACCCGTGTGCATGGGTGCGTACGTAGTATAACATTAAAAATACCTTTGGGGGGGCACTAGAAATGTGGCTTTTTACTGGTAGAGTGCTTGTCTAGCATGCATGAAGTCCTGGGTTCTGTTCCTCAGTATCACATACACAGAAAAAGCCAGAAGGGGCATTGTGGACAGTGCGCAGGCCCTGAGTTCAAAGCCTTGGGACTGGTTTTGCCTCTTACCCCTCTCCCGCCCCCCTGCCCCCCCGCAAAAAATGCCTTTTTGCAGTCTATATGATAAGGAAAAAAACCTAGTTAAATTATTTGTACAATAATTGACAGATGTTTAAGGAACTGTGGCTCAAGTGGTGCAGCACTAGCCTTGTGCCAAAAAGATAAGGGCCCTGAATTAAGTCCTAGTATTAGCACCAAAAAAAGAAACCAAAACAACAACAAAACTCTTGCAAATGATATGTGGGTTGAAGCACATTGACGTTCAGGAAAAGTGATGGTAGAGGCCAGAAAAGTAGACATGGAGTTCATTATAGTGGGCTGTATGTAGATAAACTCACATAATAAATTTGAGTTATGATGAATAGATGTAGGAGGAAGGGTGATAGGGACCTTGGGTGATATATTTATTGTTTTTGTTGTTTTTTTTTGTTGGTCGTGGGGCTTGAACTCTGGGCCTGGGCGCTGTCCCTCAGCTCTTCAGCTCAAGGCTAGCGGTCTACCACTTGAGCTACAGCACCACTTCCGGTTTTCTGGTGGTTTACTGGAGATAGGAGTCTCACGGTCTCTCCCGCCCGGGCTGGCTTTGAACCGGGATCCTCAGATCTCAGCCTCCTGAGTAGCTAGGATTACAGGCGTGAGCCACCAGTGCCGGGCTTGGGTGATATATTTATGTGTGTGTGTATGTGTGTGTGTGTGTATATATATGTATATATATGTATATATGTATATATATGTATATATATATATATATATATATATGCATGTATATGTATTTACAATGCAAAGCTTGCTCCCCCAAGACAACCTTGATGTTTATTTTTTGTTGATATGGGTTTGAATTCAAGGCCTTTAGCTTGCTAGACAGGGACTCCTATTTGAGACACACCTTCAGCCCTTTTCCATTACTTAATATTTGCATGGTATCTCGTGTTTCTCCCTGGGGGATTGCCTTGGGTGGTGATCCTCTATTTGCCTCTCCGGGTGGCGATTACAGGCTCAGGCCACGCTTACAGTCTCTGGCCTTGTGTTTCCTGTAACAGTGTTGTTAAGGACATGTTGTTCAGCAGTCTTTTATTTAAAAGCCGTAGTGCTGCACTAGTAACAGTTTGGTCCTTTTCTCATAAGCATGCTTTCCAGTGTGTAAAAGGTTAGTTTCTCTATTGACAAAGTCCAGAGCCTAATTTGGACTAATTCTAGGAAGTATATAATAGTACTTTAGAGTATGTTTATTTGCTTCCCCTATTTCTTGTGCCTTTTAATACAATTTTATTATTATCATCATCATTTTTTTTTGTGGGTCATGGGGCTTGAACTCAGGGTCTGAGTGCTGTCCCTGAGCTCTGTGCTTAAGGCTAGTGCTCTACCACTTTGAGCCACAGCACTGCTTCTGGCTCTTTGATGGGTAATTGGAGAGAGTCTCACAGACTTTCAGCATGGGCTGGCTTTGAACTTGATCCTCAGATTTCAGCCTCCTGAGTTACCTAGGATTTACAGTCACTGGTGCCTTTGCTTCAGTGTAGTCTGTCTTCTCCTTTCTCCTTCCCTTCCCTTGGGGCAGGTGGGGGGGGGGGATAGTGTTGTTCCTGAGCTCTTTTGCTCAAGGCTAGCCCTCCACCACTTCCAACAACTGGGCTCATTATTGTTATTATTAAGGTGTTGTACAGAAGAGTTACCATTTCGTAAGTCAGGTAATTAGTACATTTCTTTTTTGGGGACAGTGTCACCCCTTTTTCCGCCAGGTCTTCCTCTATTTCTTGCATTAAAAAATTACTTTTAAGTAGTCGTAAAAGGTGTTTCTATTTTGTTTTGTCTTCCTTTGTGTTCTTTTTCCCCCTATTGACAGCCCACTTATTAAATTTTATAGTTTATGTGTATTTTTAGAAAAACGTTAAATACTCTGATTGCTTAAATGGGTATAGCTAAGAGAATATGTGCAATTAAGCCCTGAGAATTGAATGTGAATTGTGAATAAAAATCTTTCCTCTCTGTGTGCCAATGGCTCATGCCTCTTATCCAAGATATTCAGGAGGCTGAGATATGAGGAGCACAGTTTGAAGCCAGCCTGGGTGGGAAACTCCATGGGTCTCTGATTTCCAATTAAGCACCAAAAAAGCTGAAAGTGAAGCTGAGGTTCAAATGGTAGAGCACTAGATTTTAGCAAAAAATTCAGTGACAGTGCCCAAGACCTAAGTTCAAGTGCTAATAAATAAAAATAAATCTTGGCTTAATTATTGCAGGACCGGGAAGGAAGGCCAGCCCAGAGAATACTACACATTGGACTCCATCTTATTTCTGCTTAATAATGTGCACCTTTCTCATCCAGTTTATGTTCGACGTGCAGCTGTAAGTAGAATTCATTTTCAAACTTAATGAGTTACTTATTGGATAACTAGGCATTGTTTTCATCATGGATAACTCCCTTCCTTTGGTTTCCTGTCTGGGAAAGTTCTGGAGAGTCAGAATTAGACTACTGTGTGATTGGTACAACTTTTTTTTTTGGGGGGGGGGGTCGGTTGTGGGGCTTGAACTCTGGGCCAGAGTGCTGTTCCTGAACTCTTCAGCTCAAGGCCAGCACTCTACCACTTTAGCTACAGCGCCACTTCCGGTTTTCTTGTGGTTTATTGGAGATAAGAGTTTCAAGGAATTTCCTGCCCAGACTGGCTTTGAACCACGATCCTCAGATCTCAGCTTCCTGAGTAGCTAGGATCACTGGTGTGAGCCACCAGTGCCTGACTAATTGGATTTCTTCAGTGTAAAATACTGGTAATGTTGATGCCAATGAAAGTTTTACAGACACAGGTATTTAAAAATATATTAAGTCTGTGGAAGGGTCTTGATATTCTGCAACTCTAATCTCAGGCTTTTTTTTTTTTTTTTTTTAATCTTTTCTGTGCCAGTCCTGGGGCTCTCACAAAGCCAGTGCTCTACCACTTGAGCCACAGCTCTACTTCTGGCTTTTGGTGGACAAACTTTTCTGCCCTGGCTGGCTTTGAACCAGGATCCTCAGATCTCAGCCTCCTAAGAGTAGCTAGGATAACAAGTGTGAGCCACTGGTACCCAGCTGTACTGCCATTTTCATGTTAGTAGACTTTTAATATTTTTATCCTATGGCTGTAATATACATAATGGCTAAATGATGAAGTGCATTGTCAGACTAGAAACAGAAATTTCAAGGAAATTAATTTGAATATTTATCATTCCATGTGGACATTTTGTTGTTGTTGTTGTTGTGGGGCTTGAACTCTGGGCCTGAGCGCTGTCTCTCAGCTCTTCAGCTCAAGGCAAGCGCTCTACCACTTGAGCTACAGCACCACTTGTGGTTTTCCAGTGGTTTATTGGAGATAAGAGTTTCAAAGATTTTTCTTGCCCGAGATGGCTTTGAACCACCATCCTCAGATCTCAGCCTCCTGAGTAGCTAGGATTATAGGAGTGAGCCACCCATGCCCTGCTCCATGTGGACTTTTTTTTTCTTCTGCTTATGTGATGCTGAGGAATCAAACCCAGGGCCTCATGCATGCAAGGCAAGCACTCTACCACTGAGCCACCTTCCCAGCCCATGTGGACTTTTAAGCAAGAAAAACTTTATGTGCTTTTAGATTTACAGGGAGAAAATGAAATTGATATTTTTTAAAAAAGGGATTAGGTATTAGTTTCTAAGTAATGAAATAGTTGAAATAGTTTAACAAGTCAGTATGATGTCTGGTGTCATTATGAGATAATTGTCCCAGAAACATGGGGTTCTTATTCATCATAGATATCAAAGGACTTCAGCTGTGTTTATATTGCACGCTGTTTAGAAAATTGTGAGAGTGGGGCTGGGAAGGTGGCTCAGTGGTAGAGTGGTTGCCTTGCATGCATGAGGTTCTGGGTTCGATTCCTCAACACCACATAAGCAGAAAAAAAAAGCCGGAAGTAGCACTGTGGCTCAAGTGGTAGAGCGCTAGCCTTGAGCTGAAGGGCTGAGGGACAGCGCCCAGGCCCAGAGTTCAGGCCCCATGACCGGACCCCCTCCCAAAAAAAGAAAACAAAATAGTGAGAGTGACTGCTTAGTGTGAGCGTTTTGCTCATTTTTTTGCACATTGCTAATGTAGATTATTACAGGAAAATTACCCCTGTTTTCTACGATGCATATATTCTTTTCACGCTTAATTTTTAAAACTCTTCTGCTTTCAGAATTTATTCACACTGAGAAATAAAAAGAATTATTAAGCTGGGCACCAGTGGCTCACTTCTACACTACTACCCTTTAGAAGGCTGAGATGTGAGGATTGTGGTTTGAAACCAGCTTCGGAAACTCTGATCTCCAAATAATGTCCCCAAAAGCCACTTAAGCTGTGGCACAAGTGATAGAGCAACAGCCTTGAACAAAAACTCTTATTTATTTATTTTTTTTGGTCTGGTCGTGGGGCCTGAACTCTGGGCCTGGGCGCTGTCCCTCAGCTCTTCAGCTCAAGGCTAGTACTCTGCCACTTGAGCCACAACGCCACTTCTGGCTTTTTTCTTTTTGCTTATGTGGTGCTGAGGAATCGAACCCAGGGCCTCATGCATGCAAGGCAAGTGCTCTACCACTGAGCCACCTTCCCAGCCCTTGAGCAAAAACTCTTAAGGGACAGCACCCAGGCCCTTACTTCAGCCTTCAGGGCTGGCACCCAAAACAAAAAATTATGTGATGTCGGTCACTAGTAGCTCATGCCTGTTATCCTTAGGAGGCAGAGATTTAAGGATCACAGTTCAAAGCCAGCCCAGGCAGAAAAGTCTGTAAAGCTCTTTCTCTCCAATTAATCACCAAAAAATAGTTGGAAGTAGAGCTGTGGCTTCAGTAGATTGCTAGCTTTGAGTTCAAGCCCTAGGACTGTCATAAAAAATAAAAAACTATTTGATATAGAAGGTAAATGACTACCACCATTAGTATTTTCCTGTATAATCTTTTATGCTTTATTTCATACCAAAACAAGATGAATCTATCATTGTCAAGCTTAGTTTTTTTTTTGTCCGGTCGTGGGGCCTGACCTCTGAGCCTGGCCACTGTCCCTCAGCTCTTCAGCTCAAGGCTAGCGCTCTACCACTTGAGCCACAGCGCCACTTCCGGCTTTGTTCTTTTTGCTTATGTGGTGCTGAGGAATCGATCCCAGGGCCTCAGGCATGCAAGGCAAGCGCTCTCCCACTGAGCCACCTTCCCAGCCATCAAGCTTAGTTTTAGTGACTAATTTTGTTTGTTTGGAAGAGTTCAAGTTGAATATCTTGAAGTCTGGTTTTTTGTATGAGAAAATACTAAAATGTACTTCATGAACTGAGACAGTAGGAACTAAGGTGCTCATTTCAGGCACATACTATCATGAGTGTAGTTAGAGAATAAATACTTAGAATAAGTGAAACAGAAAAGGACTGGGTTCATACCTTGAACAGGGATAGTCATTGCTTCTTTTTGAATAATTGTCTTTTATATCTTACTAGAATTTCAAAACTTTATGAAAAATAAACTTATTTAAAATGTTTTTTAGTTTTAGTCTAGGATTTTTAAATCTTTCATTATTTAAAAGTTTTCAGTCTAACATTTTTTGACTGGTTTCATATAGTTTTTTTTTTTTAATAATTCATTTCAAATTTTGGCTGCAGACTGAAAATATCCCTGTGGTTAGAAGACCTGACCGAAAAGATCTCCTTGGGTATCTCAATGGTGAAGCATGTGAGTAGTATTTCAATTGCTCCCACTCTTTTTGTTTTTCTCTGATATTGGGGTTTGAACTTGGGACCTTGTGTTTGCTAGGCAGGTACCACTTGAGTCACCTTCCCCCAATCCTGGCCCCTTTCTGCTTTTGAGTTGTTTCTCAGGTAAGGTTTTACGTTGTTGCATGGGACTCACTTTAGACTATTACCTACCCTTCCATATCTGTACCTCTCTCCTGCAAGCTATGTCTGAAGGTATGTTCTTCTAGGTTTGGCTTGTTGAGAATAAGAGTCTTTGCTAATTTTTTGCCTGGATTGGGTTCAAACCATAAACCATTCATCAATTCCCAGTAACTGGAACTACAAACATGCACTGCCATTTCTGGAACTTCCCTCCCTCCCTCCCTTCCTTCCATCAGTTGTGGGGTTTGAACTCATGGTACTGTCCCTGAGCTCTTTTGCTCAAGGCTAGCACTCTACCACTTGGAGCCACAGTACCACTTCTGGGTTTTCTGGTGATTAATTGGAGATAAGTGTCTCTCCAGACTTTTCTGCCCTGGCTGGCTTTGAACTGCAATCCTCAGATCTCACACTGCTGAGTAGCTAGGATTACAGGTGTGAGCCACCAGCACTTGGCCTGTCATTTCTTTCTGGAAGCCATTCCTGTCTGGCTTTTCCCACCATACTACTAAAATCCTTTACAAGGCCAAGTGACTTCAGAATTGATATATCCTTCCTTGATTTCTCTTCCTTCCTTGACCTGATTGGCATTAGGTGCTGTTGGTGACTTCCTCTTTTGAAAACATTACTTCATTTGGCATTTGGGCCACCAGACTCTGTGCCTGCCTCAGTATATTTTGATTGTTTTTTCTCTTCCTACTTGTTACCCACCTCAGTATATTTTGATGATTTCTGTGCCTACTATCTTGAGTTTGGAAGTTTCTACTTCTCCTCCCCCCCCCCCCCCGGTCCAGTCGTGGGCCTGAACTCTGGGCCTGGGCACTGTCCCTCAGCTCTTCAGCTCAAGGCTAGCGCTCTACCACTTGAGCCACAGCGCCATTTCTGGCTTTTTTCTTTTTGTTTATGTGGTGCTGAGGAATCGAACCCAGGGCCGCATGCATGCAAGGCAAGCGCTCTACCACTGAGCCACCTTCCCAGCCCCTTCTTCTTTTTTAATTCTAAAATTTCTTTCTTTTCTTTTCTTTTTTTTTTTTTGGTTAGTCATGGGTCTTGAATTCTGGGCCAGGGCACTGTCCCTCAGTTCTTCAGCTCAAGGCTAGAGCTCTACCACTTAAGCCACAGAACCACATCTGGTTTTCTGGTGATTAATTAGAGATAAGAGTCTCACGGACTTTCCTGCCCGGACTGACTTTGAACTGCGATCTTCAGATCTCAGTCTCCTAAGTAGGTAGGATTACAGGTGCCACCAATGCCCGGCTTATTTGTATTTCTTGTATCTACAAGAGGGAACTCTAGAAAAAATATGCATAATTGATACTGTCACATTGGTTGCATGTTACATTGGTGGTAGGAAAAGGTAGATGGAATAAGTGCAGCCTTTTTTATCTTGGTGTAGATTTTTGTATAATATATTGAGCTATTCAAAAAGTAATATGAGCCAGGCACCAGTGATTCACACCTGTAATCCTAGCCACTCAGAAGGTTGAGATCTAAGAATTGCGATTCAAAGCTAGCCTGAGTAGGAAAGTCTGTGGAACTTTTTTTTTTTTTTTTGATTGGTCATGGGGCCTGAACTCTGGGCCTGGGCGCTGTCCCTCAGCTCTTCAGCTCAAGGCTAGCGCTCTACCACTTGAGCCACAGTGCCCCTTCCTTCGGGCTTTTTCTGCTTATGTGGTGCTGAGGATTCGAACCCAGGGCCTCAAGCATGCAAGGTAAGCACTCTACCACTGAGCCACCTTCCCAGCATGTGGACCTCTTATCTTCACTAAACTACAAAAAAAATGGAAGTGGAGCTGAGGCTCAAGTGGTAGAGCACTAATCTCTGCAAAAAAGCTCAGGGACAGTCCCTACAACCTGAGTTCAAGCCCCAGGACAGGCACTAAATAAATAAGTAAATAGAAAAGATAATTTAAAGTTTTCTGCTGAGTATGAATAACCAAAAATTGCATGTTTAATATGAATGTTAACTTAATATGTACATATTTATTTATTTTATTTATTTTTTTGTCGGTCGTGGGTTTTGAACTCTGGGCTTGGGCCATATCCCTCAGCTCTTCAGCTCAAGGCGACTGCTCTACCGCTTGAGTCACAACACCACTTCCGGTTTTCTAGAGGTTTATTGTAGATAAGAGTCTCATGGACTTTACTGCCTGGGCTGGCTTTGAACCTCGATCCTCAGATCTCACCCTCCTGAGTAGCTAGGATTACAGGCGTGAGCCACCGGCACCCAGCTTATGTACATATTTATTATTGATTTGCTTCTTTAAGTGTGTTATATATTCTTTAAAATCACCAGTTAATTTCAGTCATATTGTTAAAAAATAATATGTTCTCTTACAGACTTTGTAATCCAGATTAATCTTTTGAACAAATACTTTTTAACTTTTTTTTGTTGTTATGGGTCATGGGGCCTGAACTCTGGACTTGAGCACTGTCCCTCAGCTCAAGGCTAGCCCTCTACCACTTGAGCCACAGCGCCACTTCCAGCTTTTTCTGCTTATGTGGTGCTGAGGAATTGAACCCAGGGCCTCATGCCTGCAAGGCAAGCACTCTACCACTGAACCACCTTCCCAGCCTACTTTTTTTTGGGGGGTGGGGGGGGGAGGGTCCGGTCTTGGGGCCTGAGCTCTGGGCCTGGGCGCTGTCCCTTAGGTCTTCAGCTCAAGGCTAGCGCTCTACTACTTGAGCCACAGCGCCACTAATGGCTTTTTTCCTTTTTGCTTATGTGGTGATAAGGAATCGAACCCAGGGCCTCGTGCATGCAAGGCAAGTGCTCTACCACTGAGCCACCTTTCCAGCCCTACTTTTTTACTTTTTAAATTTTATTTATTTTTTTGTTGGTCTTAGGGCTTGAATTCTAGGCATGGGTGCTGTCCTTGCTAGTGCTCTACCATCTGAGTCACAGTGCTGCTTCCAGTTTTTTAATTGGAGATAAGAGTCTCATGGACTTTCCTGCCTAGACTGGCTTCAAACTGTGATCTTCAGATCTCAGCCTCCTGAGTAGGATTACAGGTGTTAGCCTGGCTAAAACTTACTTTTACATAGGGAAATCCCGCTAAAACTTACTTTTACATAGGGAAATCCCTGCACTTGTTCAAATACTGACCTGTTCATGTGAATCTTTTAACATTTTCAGCAACGTCGGCAAGTATAGACAGAAGTGCCCCCCTGGAAATAGGTCTTCAGAGATCCACTCAAGGTACACTTGTCACATCCTTATTTTCCGTGTTCAAAATCCCATTCCAAAACTCTATGCATTTATTTACTTTCCTTTTTTTTTTTTTAAGTCAAACGAGCTTCAGATGAAGTTTTAGCAGAAGCAAAGAAACCACGAATTGAGGTAATAACTTTATTTTAAAGCTGACTCATACTATTACCTGAATTGTGATAATTCTAGGAGCTCTTTATTCCTGGAAATGTTTTTGAAGTGAAAGAAAAGTTGTTTAGAATATAGCTTGAACAGTGTTAGCTCTCACGTCCAGTCTTTATGATAGGCAACTAATTTCATTAGTTTATTTATTTTTGCAAGTCTTGGGGCTTGAACTCAGGGCCTGGGCATTGTCCCTAAGCTTCTTTTACTCAAGGCTAGCACTCCACCACTTGAGCCACAGCACCACTTCTGGCTCTTTCTGTGTATGTAGTATTGGGGAATAGAACTCAGGGCTTCGTGCATGCTAGGCAAGCACTCTACCACTGAGCCACATTCCCAGCCTAATTTTTTTTTTTTTAAATTGTTATTGTAAAGGTGATAAGCAGGGGGTTACAGTTACGTAAGCCAGATGAGAACATTTTTAAAAAATCTTTTTGACAGGGTTACCTTTTCCTTCCCTCTTCCAGTTTTCCCTCCCGTCCCTACCTGTACAGTACATAGTTCATTTTCAACATGCTGTATAAGTGAATACCACTGGTACTTTTATTATCTTTGCTTTTATTGAAAATATGGTTGGTTGGGGCTGGGAAGGTGGCTCAGTGGTAAAGCGCTTGCCTTGCATGCTTGAGGCCCTGGGTTCGATTCCTCAGCACCCATAAGCAAAAAAAAAAAAAAGCCGGAAGTGGCGCTGTGGCTCAAGTGGTAGAGCACTAGCCTTGAGCTGAAGAGCTGAGGGACAGCGCCCAGGCTCAGAGTTCAGGCCCACGACCAGACTCAAAATGAAAATATGGTTGGTACTAGATCTGGCTGGATGTAGTAGTATATATATACCTATAATCCCAGCTACTTGTAGTAGAAGCAGGAAAATCTCAAGTTCAAGGCTGGCCTGGACAGTTAGTCAGACCCTCGCTCAAACACAATAAAGCCAGAAAGTCTGTAAATGTGACCCAAGTGGCAGAAGACCTTGGGTTTAACCCATACTACTACCAGACAAACACACAGGTTTGATTTTGTAAAAGTACAGAAAGAAGTGGTATATGTTCTTGGCCACATGCTTCTCTGTTGTGCTGTGAAAACCATCACAGATGGACAGTGGCTTGGCCCAACACAGCTTTGGCACTACTAGTGAGCTTTGGGTATGGTTTTCCTACTCCTGGAGAGGGTATCAGCTGTGAGCCCTAAGTGCTTGTTAAGTTATTTCATTAACATTGATGTGAATTCTAGGTTTTTTGAAGCATGTACGTAGTGTGAGGGAATGTCTAAGAAGGTTTATAAGCTTTTTTTTTTTTTGTCGGGTTGTGGGGCCTGAACTCTGGGCCTGGGCGCTGTCCCTCAGCTCTTCAGCTCAAGGCTA